TTGCTGCTTTCTACAATCTACCTCTCTACACCTGGGGCTTCACAACCGCTAATGAACTGGCTGATACCGTTCGTTTCCCTACATGTATTGTCTTAACACCTAATTATTTGACGTAAGTTTATCTCACAAAAAAACCTTTCGAAGGACTTTGGAGTTTTTTACAGTCTGAGCTTGGCCCTATTATGCATTATGGACCATTTCAAGTGGAACTCGTTTGCATTTATCTATTCAGCAGATGAAGATTCGCAGAAATGCCCGATTTTCGTAACAGATGTTCAGGTAGGAAAAAATGGAACAACTTTTGCAAGCATTTTTCCCAAAAAATTTCAGAAAGCAGTATTTCGAGATGACGATTTCAACATTGCAAACATAGCCGAAATGAGGAATATGTCATTGTCGGAGATAAGCGAAGCACTCGTTCAAACGGCGTCACAAGCAAGGAGTGCGTAAAAACATTTTTTGGACTTATATCTCTAATGCAGTGTTGTTGCGGTGTCAACAACGTTTGCGCGTAAACAAGGCAACACGAGCTCAGTGGATATTTTTACACGAAAGTTGCAAGCAAGTAGCTCATTCAGAAGCATGACTTTTTTCCCCGCGCAATTGTTGTCGTCACCGCAAGAGCACATGTTGTCCGCCAAAAACAGTGGACAGTGCTTAAACGTTTTCTGCTTACAGTAGTCGTTGTTTGCCTGTCAAAACCAGAAAACAAAAGGAAATTTATGCTTACCGCCAAGGATCAAAATATGCTGAACGACGAATACGTTTATATTTTTGCGGATCTCTTGGACTCTGGATACAGTATGTCAAAAAGCTGAATATTTATTTATTTTTTTGCTCATTTTCCATCCTTTTGCTAAAATATTTAGGAATTGCAAACACGGGGAATCAAACGCTATACATCTGGGAAGATAGATCAATCAAACCCGATGGAAGAGACAAAGAGGCTCGGGAAGCGTTTGAAAGAACATTTATGCTGAGCGATGTAAGCACTGCAGTACCATAAAAATACACCTAAAAAATTTCCATTTCAAATATTCCAGGCGGACAACGATTTTGATGCAAGTTCGGGCCTAGCTGCCTTCAGCAAACAAGCTGCCCAGAAAACAAAAC